TAAATTTTAGGATTGTTTGCTCCAGCTCTTTGAAAAATGCTGGTGGAATTTTCATCGAAATGGCATTAAAAGTATAGATTGCTCTAGACAGTATAGACATTTTAACAATGTTTATTCTTATGATCCAGGAGCATTTAATGGTCTCTTATTTTTTTGTGTCTTCTTCAATTTCTTTCATGAATGTTCTGTAGTTCCTTGAGTACAGATCCTTCACCTCTTTGGTTAGGTTTATTCCCAGGTATCTTATGTTTCTTGGTGCTATAGTAAATGGAACTGATTCTCTAATTTCCCTCTCTGTATTTTCATTGTTAGTGTATAAGGAAGCCACTAATTTCTGTACACTGACTTTGTACCCTGCCATGATACTGAATTGCTGTATGAGTTCTAGCAGTTTGGGGGTGGAGTCTTTTGGGTTTTCCATATAAAGAATCATGTCATCTGCGAAAAGAGAGAGTTTGACTTCTTCATTGCCAATTTGGATACCTTTTACTTCTCTTGGTTGTCTGATTGCTGTTGCTAGGACTTCTAATACTATGTTCAACAAGAGTAGTGAGAGTGGGCATCCTTGTCGTGTTCCTGATCTCAACGGGAATGCTGCAAGCTTTTTCCCATTGAGGAGGATATTTGCTGTGGGTTTTTCATAGATAGATTTGATGAAGTTCAGGAATGTTCCCTCTATCCCTATACTTTGAAGCGTTTTAATCAGGAACAGATGCTGGATTTTGTCAAATGCTTTTTCTGCATCAATTGAGAGGACCATGTGGTTCTTCTCCCTTCTCTTATTGATTTGCTCTATCACATTGATTGATTTGCGAATGTTGAACTATCCTTGAAACCCAGAGATGAATCCCACCTGGTCATGGTGGATAATCTTTTTAATGTGCTGTTGGATCCTGTTTGCTAGGATCTTGTTGAGCATCTTAGCATCCATATTCATCAGTGATATTGGTCTGAAATTCTCCTTTTTGGTTGGGTCTTTGCCTGGTTTGGGGATCAGGGTAATGCTGGCTTCATAGAAAGAGTCTGGAAGTTTTCCTTCTGCTTCAATTTTTTGAAACAGCTTCAGGAGAATAGGTGTTATTTCTTCTTTGAAAGTTTGGTAGAATTCCCCAGGGTATCCGTCAGGTCCTGGGCTCTTGTTTTTTTGGGAGGTTTTTGATCACTGCTTCAATCTCGTTACTAGATAACAGTCTATTCAGGTTGTCCATTTCTTCCTGGTTCAATTTTGGGAGTTTATAGTTTTCCAGGAAGGCATCCATTTCATCTAGGTTGCTTAACTTATTGTCATATAACTGTTGATAATAACTTCTGACGATTGTTTCTACTTCCTTGGTGTTAGTTGTGATCTCTCCCTTTTCATTCATAATTTTATGAATTTGGGATTTCTCTCTTTTCTTTTGGATTAGTGTGACCAATGGTTTATCAATCTTATTGATTCTTTCAAAAAACTTGCTTCTAGTTTCATTGATACGTTCTACTGTATCTCTGGTTTCTACCTCATTGATCTCAGCTCTAATCTGGATTATTTCCCTTTTTATGTGTGGAGTTGGTTTGATTTGTTGTTGATTCTCCAGTTCTTTAAGGTGTAGAGACAGCTGGTGTGTTCTGGATTTTTCAAATTTTTTAAGGGAGGCTTGGATGGCTATGTATTTCCCCCTTAGGACTGCCTTTGCTGCATCCCATAGGTTTTGGACTGATGTGTCTTCATTCTCATTGGTTTCCATGAATTGTTTGAATTCTTCTTTGATCTCCTAGTTGATCCAAGCATTCTTAAGCAAGGTGGTCTTTAGCTTCCAGGTGTTTGAGCTCCTTCCGAATTTTCCTGTGATTGAGCTCCAGTTTCAAAGCATTGTGATCTGAGAATATGCAGGGGAAAATCTGTCTTTTGGTATCGGTTCAGCCCTGATTTGTAACCCAGTATGTGGTCTGTTCTGGAGAAGGTTCCATGTGCACTTGAGAAGAATGAGTGTTCTGTTGTTTTAGGGTGGAATGTTCTGTATATATCTATGAGGTCCATCTGGTCCAATGTGTCATTCAATGCTCTTGTTTCTTTATTGATTTTCTGCTTTGATGATCTGTCTATTTCTGAGAGAGTTGTGTTAAGATCTCCTATTGTTAATGTATTCATATCAATATGACTCTTTATCTTGATTAGCAGTTGTCTTATGTAGTTGGCTGCTCCTGTATTGGGAGCATAAATATTTACAATTGTTAGATCTTCTTGATGGATAGACCCTTTAAGAATGATGTAGTGTCCTTCTGTATCTCTGACTACAGTCTTTAGTTTAAAATCTATCTGATATGAGAATCACTATCCCAGCTTCCTTTGAGGTCCATTGGCATGAAACATGCTTCTCCATCCCTTCACTTTCATTCTGGGTGTATCCTTAGGTTCAAAATGGGTCTTTTGTAGACAACATATGGATGGGTCCTGTCGTTTTATCCAGTCTGCAACCCTGTGCCATTTGGGGGCACATTTAGGCCATTCACGTTGAGAGTGATTATTGAGAGATACGTTTTTATTGACGTGGTGTTACCTGTGAAGTCTTTCTTTCTATAGATTGTCTCCATATATTTCTGTTCAATGCTATTCTTAGGATTTTTCCTCTTTTATAGAACCCCACTTAATATTTCCTGCAGTGTCGGCTTGGTGGTCACATACTCTTTTAAGCCTTGCTGGTCTTGGAAGCTCTTTATGTCTCCATCCATTTTGAATGTCAGTCTTGCTGGATAAAGTATTATTGGCTGCATGTTCTTCTCATTTAGTGTCCTGAATACATCTTTCCAGCCCTTTCTGGCTTGCCAGGTTTCTGTGGACAGGTCTTATGTTATTCTGATGGGCTTTCCTTTGTACATAAGGAATCTCTTTCCCCTACCTGCTTTCAAGAGCTCTTGTCTAAAATTATGATTTCTCATTTTCACAATCAGGTGTCTTGAGGTCTTTCTAGATCCTATGATCTTGGGGGGAGACCTTTCTGCCTCTACAACATGAATGCTGGTTCCATTCCCTAAATTGAGAAAATTTTCATGGAGAATTTGTTCAACTATATCCTCTAGTCTCCTTTTGTTCTCCTCCCCCTCAGGGATTCCAATAATTCTGACGTTGGAACGTTTCATGGTGTCATTTATTTCCCTAATTCTGTTTTCATGGCTTGCAAGCTGTTTTTTCCAGGCCTCTTCCTGGTCCCTTCTCTCTCAGTTTGTTCTCTAGATCAATAATTCTATTTTCTGCCTCAGTTACCCTAGCTGCTAGAGAATTTAGATTAGATTGGAACTCATTGAGAGCATTGTTAACATCTTCCCTGGTCACTTTCACTTCTGCCCTAATTGATTCCATGTTGTCATTAATGGTTTTCTCTAACCAAGCCATTGCCTGGATAATTGTTAGTCTGAATTCCCTTTCTGACATACTGTTTATCCATTTCCAGTAGCTCTGATGGAGAGGGCACAGTCTCTGAATTTTTCCTCTGTTGGGCAATCCTCCTCCTAGTCATTTTGGTAAGAAGTGGTTGAGGGATCAACAATGATCCAGGCACGGTGCATCCTGGAATGCTTCTGAGCAATTGGGAGTCCCCACCAAAAAGAAAGAAAAAAGAAAAAAAAGAGAGAGAGAGAGAAAGAGAGACAGGAGAAAAGAAAAAGAAAAAATAAAAGAGAAGACCCAGCCAGAATGGGCCCCAAAGGTAAGATTTATAAAGTATACAAAAATAAAGAGTCAAACAAAAAGACCAACAAAAGTAAATGACAAGAAAAAATAGAACTCAGCCAAAATGAACCCCAAGTATAAGATTTATATATGACCAGAACAAAAACAAATACACAGAAACACTGACAGAAGAAAAAGATGGGAGGGTGGTTATAAATTTTCAGTGTGGGCGAGGAAGGTTATTTTGATTCTTCCTGGGTGTATCTTGATATCTTTGTTAAAGGACTCAATTTTCCCAAAATAAAGGGGGATTAAAACTGGTTTATGTATAGGGGTAGCATTTTCACAGTGGCCCGGGCTGGGACTGTTCAGACTCTTGGCTGGTCCTCGAGAGCACTGGCTAGTGTCTGCACGGACCTGTCTCAGGGGAGGGGGTGGAGCACGACTCAGACCCCAGTAGTGCAGCACTCACTCGGAGTGCAAAAGGCTGTGGTTCTAGAGAGCATGGCTGGTGTCCGCACCAGACTCTGTCACACAGCTGCCACCCAGATGCTCTCACGTGTGCTGGTGGCTCAGGGACCAAGACCTGGCTTCTTCACTGCACTCTCTCTGGCTCAGCACCAGGAGTAGCCATCCTGGGTTCGTGGGCTTAAGTCCCTGTCCCTAACCGCCCTGATTCCCCCAATTTCCCCTTAAGATCCTTTGCTCTTTTTGAGTGCTTTCAAACAGACTCCAGTTAATGCTGGTCCCCAGTTGCAGGGCACTCTCGTATTGGGGTATTACTTTCCAATGGGTCGCCTCTGGTGGCTCCCTCCCCCTTTTGTTTATCTTCCGATATCAGTCCGATCCCACTCCACTTTACCTGCCCACTGGCGTCTTCTGCTCCCGTAGAGATCCAGACATGTATAATCCTACATCTCAGGCTGATTTCATGGGTGATCAGAGTTCTTTGGTAGATAATCAGCTCACCTTAGGGGACAGGTTGAAACAGCACCTCCTACTTCTCCAGCATTTTGTCCATGTTCCAAGAACCTCATTTTTAATTTGGAATAAAAGTTTACGACTTGATTTTTTTCAAAAAAGTCAACAAACAGCAAACACCTGTTAATAAAGGTCTTAAAAAATAAAAAGAAAAAAGAGAAGAAGAAGAGGAGGAGGAGGAGGAGGAGGAGGAGGGAGGAGAAGAAGAAGAAGGAGAAGGAGGAGAAGGAGAAGGAGAAGGAGAAGCCACTGTCCCATGCTGGCCATACAGCAGGTGGATGTGAGGTGTCTGTCCAGCAGTGTATGGTCCTTAAACCCCAGCGAAATGAGAGTGCTCCCAGCTCCAGGGGTGAGAGCAGCAGGGAGGCCCAAGATGGACACAGGATTCACTCTGGACAAGGAGATGCTGAAGAAGCTGGGGCTTCCCTTCTTGTACAAAAAGCCAGAATGGCAATGAATGCACGTTAGCTCCTGCCCATCCCTCCTGCTGCAGGCGCCGATGACGGAGGCAGCCCCTCCCCCGCCATGAAGGAATGGCCTTCACAGAGATAACTGCCCAACACCCCATACCCTCAGTGGGTGGGTAAGTTCCCGTCCTGACTCCTCACTCAGTGAGTAGTCCAACCTCAGCCCTGTCTGTCTACCCCATTGTCAACCCTTTGTCGTGTGCACTGAAGTTGCTCTGTCCCATAGAGCATGATGACCGCCCCGGCCAGTCCCTTCTCTCAGGCATGTGGCGACATATGGGCTGCCTTCTCAGGGCTTTGTTAACCCCACCAGCACCTGTCTGGGCTGCAGGGATCGGGGGGGGGCGGGGGGGGACTGGCCAGGAGCCACTGGGTCTTCTGTTCTTTCCAGAACAGGACTTGGTGCCCCCTCCCATTGTTCTTCACATTTGTTTGTAAGCTCCCACCTATTTTTCTGGTTTTTACTCCTTTTTGCTCATGTCATAGGGTCTCAGAGGAGGGCAATCCTGTTCCTTATTCCTTTCTATTCCTTTTGGTGGCTTCTCACAACTGCTGGTTTGTCGGCAACAGCAACGACTTGTTCTTTCAAGCCTGAGAGATGAAGCAAGAAGACGTTCCTCTTGTGGTTTTGTCCTTTAGTTCCTCCCTTCTGGAGTCACGTGCTCAGGAACCAGCTCTGCATGGCAGAGGCCATCAGAGGTCAAGTCTCAGATAGGAAGCTTCTCCCCAGGAGTGTGACGAATGCTCCCAGAACTTGCCAGAGCGCATCTGCATTCCGGCCATCTGGTCTACCACTGTGCCCGATTTTAGGGGTGCGTCACCCTGGAGTGTGATTAGCTCACCGAGACATGGCAGCACTGCAGGCCTGGAAGGACCTCAAGGCCCCACACTAGCCACTCCTAGCTCACCGGTCATTTTCAGAATCGATTGCCTGGACATGTCCTGACTGACAGGGTGCCCTCCCCACCTGTCACAGGGGTTTAGGCTTCAGCTCGGCTCCGAGTCTTACTGGGCAGCTAAGTAAGCGAGGAGACACCTTCCCAGTCACCGTTCAGGGATGGGTAGGGCCCCGGGAGCCTGTAGCTGTGGGCAGAGGCTGGAATGCCCACCACTGACCCCAGTCCCGGCCGCCCCGTTACACTGATCCAGATACCACACCTGGCACTTGCTGGGGCGCACACCTGTAACCCCCATGTCTTTTCCCTAGAGGGCAGGGGCAGGCTCCCAGAACCGGCCCACGGGATGCTGCACAGCCCAACCTGGGTATGAGCATGGCCAGACATGTGGCTTACAGGCTCTGGACCCAGAACAGCTGCCCTGATCCAGTCTCCACACAGCAACTCCAGGAAGAACAGGGATGGCAGGTCGGAGGTCTCTGTGGAAGGCCCATGAGCTCTGCCGAGGTTAGGTTTTATCCTCCATGGGGGCCCGATAGGACTCGCTGGCCTGCAGGAGCTGGGCCAGGTCCTCTGCCGGCCAGAGAGTGCTGCCACCTGACTGGGTCTCTGCCATGGTAAGGAGGCTGGCACGGGACTGGGGCTGGGAGCTGGAGGAACTGGGCCGCAGGGCAAGGAGGGCACCTTCCCTCCCCCATCCAGGAGCTGACAGCCCAGAAACCCAGAGCAGGTGCTTCCTGAAGGGCCAGAGCACACCCTACCCTTCATTCCCTAAGAGGAGACAGCGGGCCCAGAGCTGAGGCCACAGCCCGAAGTCCCCAGTGAGCGCAGGGGGCGGGGTGGGAGGGCTAGAGGAAGCCCTGCCTGCCAGCCAGGAGCCCCTCCTCCTTGGGCCCTGGAAGGCAGGCTCTGGAGGCCCAGGCATGGGGGTGGGGAGGGACTACAGGCTGTGACCACTCTTCGACCTGCCCTGCCCCCAGCCCCAGGTCCCCAGGGCCTGCCGGTCCTCACGCAGGCTACAGGAGCGCCTCCTCCCAGGGACAGACCGCTGCTCTCCCCACCTCACCTTGCCTCTCCTCCCCCACCTGCATCCTCCACAGGTAACTTGGGGCCATTGCACTGGTCTGCCCTTACACAGGGCACCCCCGGTGAACTCAGGCTTGTCCCTCCCCACCCCAGACCCAGATACTGTGCATGGGCTGGTGTCCAACCATGCCTGGAGAGGTCCTGAGCCCCAGCATCACGGCCGGGTCTCCCCAGCACCTCGTGTCCACCTGCCGGAGGCCGACATGACCAGCTGCGCCCCTCACTGCCCCTGCATGGCACTCCCCAGCTTCTCCCCTTTTCCCCAAGACCAGGCACCTTGGTCCCCAATCCTGGGAGGCCACCTCAGACACTCTGCCCTGCTCTCCCTAACCCCTGCTCCCCACCCCTCCCACAGGAGCCCCCGTGACAGACCTGCCACCCCAAGGGCTCCCTAACCCTCCCAGACCTCCTGCTCCTGGTGCCCCCAGGCCGGCCTAGAGCAGAACTAGTAGACAGAACTTTCCAGAAAGAGACTCTAAACGAGGCCCAGACAAAAGCCTTTTCGAGGGGCACATGGGACATGTTGGAATCCAAGCCACGTGGCCTCCTCTCCAGACACACCGCCAGCCTGTGGTCCTGGCCTCGGCTGTTCCTCTGCCTGGCATCACACACACATACACACACACACACACACTCACTCACACACAGACTTCCAACACCCTCTTCACCCACCGGCTCTACCAGCAAGCCCCAGGGCGTCCTCAGTCCCTCCCTGCCCCCAGCCACACCCCTGCCCCTAGCACTTGCCCCTGCATGAGCGCATCTGCCGCTCTCACGCGGCTGTGGGAGCCTGTGTGGGTCTCCGCCCCCCTGAAGGCCACAGCCGGTGAACCTGTGGGTCCCAGCACCCAGCCCAGGTCTGACACATGCGGTCAGGGGAGAGCAGCCCCACAGGGGGAGACACGGCCCCTGTGGACCGTCGTGCCCTGCCCCCTGAGCCCGCCCCCAGCCACGGACGTGCAGAGCTGGGAACCCTCCTCCAGGACCCGCAGCCCCGGCAAACCAGCACAGCCCTGGGCCCCAGCAGCCTGTTCATGGGGACAGTGAACAGGCAGAGCCCCCAAGGGAGCCGCCCCTGGGTCCACAGATGTGGCCAGAGGGAAGGCGGCCTCATGGGCCAAGCCTCGAGCAGGCCTCCCAGCGCCTGGCTGGGGATCGGCCATGGACCTGCATGTGTCCCTGCCAGCGGTGGCCATCAGCCTTCTCGGACCACGTGTCTAGGAGGCAGGTGGCCTGTGGGCACAGCCCTGGGTCTACTCTTCTTTCTGAAAGATAAAAGGAAAACGGACACAGGAAGGCCTCTAACATTCTATCATTGTTACTGCTGGCCACTTGTTTGCCGCTGAGTCAGGAATGGCCGGAGGATGGGGGTCTGTGGTTCCACCCTTCCCCCTCCTGCCGTAGGGTCCTTGGGGTTTTGGCTGAGCCAGGAACCACAGTGCTAACTGGGGCCACAGTGATTCACAACCCTACAGAAACCCCGCAGGGGAGCACTCCAGCAGCGGAGGGGGGCCCTCCCGGTCCCAACACACCTGCCAGGTGGCAGGGGGAAGCCCAGGAAACCTGGGGGAGGGGTGCTTAGCCACCTCAGAAGGCGAAGGGACTTTGCAAGTGGACATGACGTGACCACGGGGACAGCCTGGGTCATCGACAGGCTGGAGGAGGCGTGGTGTGCGCAGCAGCCTGGATACCGGGGGAAGGGAATGGGAGCTTGGTCAGAGCCCGGCAGGGCGCGCAACCCTGGGCCCCGAGTAGTGACAGTCATTACAAGGCTATGCGGGGAGACCCTGACCTCAGGACCAATGCGATTCAGGTGCCAGTGGGACATCAAATGCAGTGCCAGCGCTCTGGGGGCAGGAGGGACGGTGCGGGGGCACGGGGCGGGCCATTCCTTCCAGCAGACAGCAGGCTTTCCGGCCCCTGCGGCTCCCTGGGGACCTTGGCTGGGCTGGGGGTTCTGTGGGCCCCAGCACAGCCCAGAGCACTGTGCAGATGCTTACTCGGGCACCTGGGGCCAGTGCACAGCGGTCACCGTCTCCTCGGCTGCGTCTGCTACCCACCCTGAGGGCAAGCGTGCTGCTGTTTCCACTCGAGGGGGAGGTCAAGGGCGCTAGGAGGTCAAGTGGGTCTTTGTATGGGAGACACAGCTGGGCAGAGACTGTGCTTCTGGGATTTCGTTTACTGGGGCCAAGGCTCCCTGGTCACTGGCTCCTCAGGTGAGTCTCCGTGGTACCAGCTCTGTGGGCACAGGGCCAGGCACCTGGGGCCGGCTGCAGCTCTAACCCAAGGTCCAGCCTGGGGCCCTGCGGGACTGCAAGGTCCCCACTGGGTCCTGGCCCCGTGGGGACTGGACTCAGAGCTGGCAGAGCCCCTGGGTGGCAACCAAGCTGAGGGCCAGGCAGACAGACGCCCCAGGCTCAGGCGTTGGTGGGAAGGGGAAGTGTGGGGCCTGGCTTTCTGTGTGCAGGGGCTAGGTGGCTGCACCAGTGTGGCCATGACTACTTGGATGTCTGGGGCCAGGGCACCCTGGTGACCGTCTCCTCAGGTAACTGCAACCCTCCCTGCCTCGCTCTGGCCCTGGGGGATCCATCTGGGGGCAGGGGAGCCGGCGGCGTGGGCTGCGTCCCCGGGTTCCGAGGTGGACTGTGCGGGCCGGGAGGGTTTCTGTTGGGGGAGAAGCGGGACTGTGTCCCTGTGCAACGCTTTTGGTTACTGGGGCCGGGTACCCTGGTCACCGTGTCCTCAGGTAAGACGGCTTCCCGCTGGCCCTTTGTCCCAGTCCCGGAGCAGAAGGTCCCCGAGACCCCCAGGGTCTGTGGGGCCCACTCTAGCGGGGGCTGCCTCTGCGGCTCTGGGGGGCCTCTCTGTGGGGTGGGGAGCGGGGCCGGCAGAGCAGGCTCCGCATCTGGGGTGCGTCCACCGTGGCCGGGCGGCCAGGGGGGGGCCGAGGTTTTTGTACACCCCCTAACGGGGCCTCTGGCAATGTGACTACTTTGAATACTGGGGCCAGGGGACCCTGGTCACCGTCTCCTCAGGTGAGTCCTCCCAGCCCTTCTCTCCTCTCTCTCTCTGGGGCTTTTTGCTGCATTTGGGGGAGAAAATGAGGCTGTCTGGGTCTGGGATCTGGGAGGACCAGGGGAAGGGAAGGGGCTGGCGGCCAGCGGCTCCCCGCCATCCTGGCACTCAGCCTCCCTTGCCTCCTGGGCTGCCCTGTCGGCTCCACCGGCTAGGGTTTGAGGTCTGAGGCTCTAGCCAGGCCCAACTTCTTGTCCGGAGTTCCCGCACAATTGTCACATTGTGACAACTGGCTTGACTACTGGGGCCAGGGGACCCTGGTCACCGTGTCCTCAGGTGGGTCCTCAGCTTCCCCACTCTGGCCGCACTTGGGGGGGAATCAGGCTGTTGGGGTTTCTGGAGGCCAGGACGGGGACAGGAATGGGGGCCTGGTGACCACCCTGCCCTGAGGACGGCTGCACTCAGAGGCAAGGCGGCTCCTTTGGCTGGTCTGTCCACGTAGTCTTGGGGGCCACAGCGACTGTGGTGCAATCGGTGGAATCGGGGTCTCTGTGGCTGTGGCCCTTGGGGCAGATTGGACCTCGGAGTCCCAGTTAGGGACTTGTAGCCGGGCGGCCCAGGTGTGCAGTGCCCTGGCTTCTGTGGGGCCTGGAGACCATTCCAGCCTCTGAGTCAGGGCGAGGCCGGGCCAGGCCCCCGGGGTTTTGGTGAGGTGCGGACAGCGATTTCACCACTGTGACTACTACGGTATGGACTACTGGGGCCAGGGGACCTCGGTCACCGTGTCCTCAGGTAAGACTGGCCCTGCCATGGCCTTTATTTTCTGCTCCTTTCTGTGGGGTTTTCTGAGCACGGATGGCCGGTCCTTGGGACAGGCCCCCCAGGGGCAGGCTGGCCGGGAGGGGACGAGGACCGGGTGATTTGGGGACTTCCAAGCCTCTTGATTTTCCAGGGCCATTCTAAAACTAGAATCCTGCCGGCAGGCCCCGTGCAGGACCTGAGCCCCTGAAGAGGGGGCTGGAGGCTGGGCCGGCCACGGGTGGGCCAGGACCCCCACGGCTACAGGGCCACCGGGCGCTTAGAATCCTGGGGTCGGCTAGGAACGTGCACGGCCGGCTGTGTGTGCAGGAGAGGGGAGGGCTACGGGTAGTGGGAGACTGTGCTGGGAACCAGGAGTGCAGTTCGGGGCTGGGCTGTTTTGGATATCTGGTCGGGGACAGAGCCGTCTGGGCAGGGAGGGACACTGAGGGGCAGGTCTGGGGCCCAGGGAGCTGGGCTCTGCGCTGTCAGCCTCCAGGGGAGCGTGGCTTGCCCCTGCTAAGCGTATGCGCTCTCAACACAGAAGGACAGGACATCCTTGAAGGGTTTCTTTTCTCCTGAGAGAAATCGCTAAACAACGGTGGCTTTAAAATGTCGGAGATTTTCAAGTGTGTTAGACTTTTTAATTGTATCAGGCGATTAACCTGCCAGAATCTTATCTTTCTGGAGTCGATACGAGAAGGTGGCCCCCGCCACAGCTGAGTTTTGAAGATGATCAGTGAAGTTTATTTTTTGTTTAATTCAGCGATTCAGGAAGTGGCAGGGCCTCGCCGGTGGGGGCAGGGCCGGGCCGAGGCAGGCCCGGCAGGTGGCAGGAAGCAGGTCGCTGGGACGGTCTATTTTAGGAAGCAAGAAAACACACTTGCAAATTCATAGTTTGTGGTTAGCAGAAGTGGTTTTCGGGTGGTTTTGCCCAGGCCCAGGGGCCAGCGCAGCCTCCTGCAAAACAACACCTGCGCAATTTGCATTTTCTAAAATAAGCCCGAGAGGCTAGCAGGAGCCCGAGGCTTCCTTTTCTGACTTTCTGAATTTAATCTCTCGGTCTTAGCTCACCAACGTCTGAATTACACTCATTTCCAAAGTAAGACGTTGAGGACATCCAGCTGGTCTCAGGGACGGTTTGCAGCGCGTTCCTGTAGGGTTTTCTGAATCAGTGGTTCCTGGTCGTTGACCCCAAACCGCCCTCCGGTGCCCCGAAGCGGGGTTTTGCAATCTCTGTGTCCATGTTCTAAGACTTTCTCTTTGTGAGGGAGAGGCACGGAGGTGCCCTGAGGAGGTGGCCTTCCCGGCAGCCTGTTCGCAGACCTGTTTTCAAGCATTCTTGCGGGGACAAATTTTAGAGGAAACGAGTGATTGTCCTGCGTCGTTTTAGTGAAGCGTGTTCTTGTTGGACTAAGAGGAAGCCCCGTGAGGTCTCGAATCAGAAAGGAGCTCTGCCAAGCTCCCGCGCCGATGGGGCCCCGTGGAGGGCCCACCTGGCCACCCAGCCCGCCGTGGCTGGGGGTCTCCCCGGGCCCGCCGTGGCTTCTGCCTCCAGGCCAGCTGCCTGTGCATCAACCACCCGATTTTAATGGATTTGGAGGAATTCTCCCAAGACCCCCACACACAGTGACCAGGGAGCCCAGCTGGTAAGAGAGAAGCTCGTATTTCCTGTTTTGGCTTCTGGGGGTGAGAGTCCGTCTTTAGCGTCGTCGGCTCAGTGAAACAATGAGGTTAATTTGTATGGGTCCCAGCGACCAGGACCAGCGTCTGGTCTCTCCGTCTGACTTTCTCTAAAGACCGTTTCAAGGACACAGCTGGAAGGGCTCCCCGAGGCTTCTTGGCTGTGGATCCCTGTGGCTCAGACGCTGGAGCACAGGAGTCCCACTTAGGTTTTGGGTTGTAAACGCGGCCCCGGGTGTGGGGCCACCGGCCACCGCCGCGAGGGGCTTTCTGACAGAGCAGAATGAGAACTGCAGATTCAGCAGAGACTTGTTTCTGGCCCTATGTAGTGACGATTTTTATTTAGACGGAACTTAGCTAAAGTGGGGCCGACTTTACACTCCGAAGGCAGGAGGTCAGCTCAGGCGAGTGCCCAGGAGGGTGCAGGCCAGGCGGGCAGCGTCGAGCGCCCCTCTTTCAGCCCAGAAGCAGCACTCCCTGCTCTAGAGCAGAGACGCAGGCTTTCCACTGGTGACAGTGAACCCTCCTCCATCCGTGCAACGTGTCCTGGTGACTCTTCACTGGCCAGGAAGCGTTTTACCCAGGACACTGACGGAGTGACTGCTAGGGCTTGGGCACCAAGAGCCAGCTCAGCCTGGGGTCACAACCAAATAGGGGGTCCTAGTGGAAAATCCACAAGGACACACAACCATGGAACAGACAGGGCTAAGCACCAGAAGGTGTGGACCCAGAGCCAGGCCCGACAGGATTGGATTCCTGGGTGAGCTGGCTTTAGCTGAAAGGCACGCAGATCCGGAGCTCTGAAATTTTCTAGCCCGTCCCGGGACCGGACTTTCCGGGACTGCAGGACCCAGTCAGCTGAGCTGGACTAAGCCAGATTGAACTGGCACTTCTGGGCTGGGCTGGGCTGAACCACGTCGGGTGAGCTGGTCTAAGCTACATTGAGTTGGGCTGAGCTGAGCTGACCCAGGCTGGGCTGGGCTGAGCTGGGCTGGGCTGAGCTGAGCTGGGCTGGGCTGGGCTGGGCTGGGCTGAGCTGAGCTGGGCTGGGCTGAGCTGGGCTG